ACAATAAAGGAGGCAGCCAGGGAAAAGATGGCATTGGCATTAATTGGCGTGCCGGTAACCTTGGCAGATGATACCAAATTCAGGCTGTTTCGCAAGACGGACTGGTGGAGGCCTTCTGAGACAAGAATAGCACCTGCCTGGGTAAGGATATCCTTGTCTGAAATAACTCTAGCACCACCCAAGTAGGCGGAGGTACCGATACCTTCAAGAACTGATGCCAGGCCAAGGAAGCTGTGGATGTCGGTGTACGGGAACTTGTACTCGCAAGCCGAAACAGGATTTACTCCAGCATTCCTGAGAGCCTGGGTAATGAACACAACATGGTCCTCCTCATCCTGGGCGATAAATTTCAGCTGGTTGAACAGTCTAGCATCGAAACCAGCCTCGTGGAAATGATTCTGTGTGAACCGAGAGAAAGCACCCTTGTAGAAAACATTTTCCAGATGTTCAAGCTGTATTAACAAAACCAACATTAGCCATGGCCTATCCTAAAGGCAGTAAAAACAATATACAGGATACATACAGTCAGGGCGAATTGCAGGATATCAATATCGGTAATCCCTTGCTGGCGAGTTTCTAGCGGTGCACTGAAGACACCTGCTGCAGAAAGAACCCCAATGAACGCGCTGCATAGAAGGGACTTCATGACTTAATCTTTTGGGGTATAAATGAACGACAGAACAAGATATTAAAACTGTAAAAAATAAAACAATAAGTCAGGTATGTATAACTACAGGAACGATTGAATGAGTGGTGACCAGCACACCGGAGAATAGAATATCTGAAAAATGAGAGTGAGGAGCGAAGTGGACTTCCAAAACCGCAAAAGATACCGAACCAAGTGAGAAAAAAGCAGATCTTGGGGGTAGGCATCCTTTTTACATGCGATCCTACACACCCAAGCTCTGCTCGGTAAATGAGCTTCCAACCTCACTGTTTCTAAAGTTGGCTAGCAAGATTGTCGACATAAGATCGTCCCAAAAACCAGCCCCCTTGAGACGTTTTTAAAGTGGCCAAGAAGTCGCTTTAAGGCATTTGAGACGTTAAGTGTAGCTATCAACATATGCCAAGAACACTGAGAAGCAACGTTCTCAGAGCCAGATCTCTCATAGCGGCGCAGCGAAGCTTAGCCCAAACACAGACCCAGATTACCTGCCCGATTCGTACCGGAAGCCATAGACCGATTTCCTAATACGTCGAGCTTTCATCGAAATCTGTCATAGGGCAAAAAAGTTGGAGTTTGAGATGGCCTAGATTGGAAATCTCAGTCAGGATCAGAGTTCCCAAGGCCTGACTACGAGACAAGCTCGCCTCCTTTTAAATGAAAAACGATATGTAATCATTTAAAGAAGCGGGGTTAGTTCACATTGGCGGCATATTCAAACTCAATGCCGTACTGTCAACGCCAACTTCGGCCAGTTGCTGGATATATTTGGGATTAAGTTCGGTTTCGGTAGGCATACCTATAGGGTTCGGATACCGAGGGGAACTGGCCTTAATCAATCATTCGCTCCCAAGCTTTGCTGGTTATCGCTTGAGCCTAGGAATGCATAGGGTCTCCCTCTCCTGGTATCTGTCGAGCGAGTTCCTAGATGGGAATGAGGAGTGCTCAGATTATTTCCATGTTCTGCTTTGGACATCCTATGACAGTTGACGAGCCTCCACAAGGTGACCAGGGGCATAAATCAATGCGTCAATTTCCCCTTTTTGCCATGGTTGTGTTAGTAGGATCTGAGATCCGAATGGCAAAATGGTGAGAGACAATGCACTTCACGATCTGTCAGTTCCAGGTCAGTTTCAAGTTGGCGAGCAAGTGTATGAAGAGGAGCCCCTAGCGCCAGTTCTCCCCTCAACTGAAGAAGACATCAGGGACAAGCGTCAATCTGAGATATAAACTAAATTACTCATAAGTCAGTGAGAGGTTTCGAGGCATAATGTATGCACTTTCAGATCACCTGCGCCGTCAAAGTTTTCTTGATATCGAGGTCGGTCGTTGGATGCATTAGATACATCGGAGCCGGGAATAACTAAAAATCATTTTCAAGGGTATAGTTACTTATATAAGCACATATTTGGTCATGTGATATTGACTTGGCATCTTTTTAAACGTGAAGAAGGGAATTGAATACGATCATAAACAAAATCTACAAGATGAGAATATATAGTCTATGTTCCCATATAAATCATACAACAGGCCCTGCCTGAAATGAACCGAGGATTAAGCAAAATATAAGATCAAAGAACGGGGACAGGTAAAAGTGACAGGAGACTGAGGGTAAAGGAAAACGACATATCCCTATTTAGTCATGGAGGATTTGAATGATCCACTGGGGTCTGTAAGAGTGGACACTGACGCACAAGAAATCCTTCTCGCTTCATCGCAGCATAATATTGCTCGCCTGCGCCAACTAATCCGCGAATATGAAAAGGCAGAGAACCCAGTGAATGTCAAAGATCCTGAAACTGGATATACTCCTCTTCACGCTGCAATTGCTGCTTGTGAAACGGATACGGAGGAATCAGCAGACAGCCACCAAGTTCCCAATGGGACTACAAATGGTGATTCTAGTACGGTACCAGATGCTAGACTGATTGACCGAGCAAGCGACGTTGTGAAGTTCTTATTGCAAGAAGGAGCTATATGGAATGACTTGGATTCTAAGAGCGAAACCCCTGGCTGCCTGGCTAGGAGACTAGGACTCAACGAGCTTTATAATTTAATGGTTGATGCGGGTGTACGCGCCGAGATGTTGCTTAATCGACTGTATGGCTATGAAGTGCTTTTGGATGATGCCGACGATGAAGTGGGGGGAGGTGCTGGGGTATCGAAGGAAAAAGAAGCACAGAATGACAAACCACAAACTGTACCGGAGTCAGATGCTAGCGCCGGTCAAGACATTGCGAACGAAGCAGAGCCAGATGTTAGCAGCTCTCGCTACCTCCAATCCAACTTAACATTTCGACACGATCGATTACTCGATGAAGATAAAAACGGAATAATGATGGCCTGGGAAACAGATATCATGGCTAAATCTGCGAAAGCACTTCTTCCCAGACCCGAGTTGCGTGTTCTAAACGTTGGCCACGGCATGGGAATTATCGACAGTCTCTTCCAAGCTCAGCAACCAATTGCCCATCACATCATCGAAGCCCACCCTGATGTCATAGCAGATATGAAAGGCAAAGGTTGGCACGAAAAACCCGGAGTTACAATTCACGAGGGCAGATGGCAGGACATCCTCCCGAGGCTCATAAATGAAGGAGAAACCTTCGACGCAATTTATTACGACACTTTTGCAGAATCCTACTCCGACTTCCGGGAATTCTTCTCGGAGCATGTTATCGGCCTTCTTGAACCAGAAGGGAAATGGGGATTCTTTAATGGAATGGGGGCAGACCGGCAAATAAGCTATGACGTCTATCAGAAAGTTGTGGAAATGGACCTACTTGAAGCTGGCTTTGATGTTGATTGGGAGGAAATAAAAGTCCCGCAACTTGACAAGGAATGGGACGGTGTACGAAGAAAATATTGGGTGGTGGATAATTACAGATTGCCGACATGCAGGTACCTGGACTAGGTCTGATAGTCGCAATATCAAACTTTCTGCAATATTTACGAATGGTTCGGTTGGGAAGCTAAAAAAAGTCTGTGAACATCGAATGAAGGTATGAGAGGGAAACGATGCCAAGAGCTGCCATCTCGACTCCCATGAAAACGCAATTTAAAGTACAGTAGTACCTAAACATCATCCTGCTGTACCTTAACTATGGATATCTGCATATTCATGTACAACTTCGTCCCTTAAACTCAAAGCCACATACAACAAATCCTCCCAATCCGAAACAACATCAAGCTTCTTCATTTACTCTAATTTTGTCAGTATGTACGCCCCTTATTCTTTTAGTGAAGAGCATTACCAATTCCGGTCTGGGCTAAGATAGTGTAGATAAAGCATGATAATAATATTTGCGTTGAGTATATTCGAATAGACGATGGACATAGGCATTCTCAAAACGAGCAGGAATTAAAAGAAACTTGATTCTCAATTCCACAATGATAAATTGACTCGAGTATCACAATAAAAATGTTTATGCCGTGTTCATTTTCTCAGGCAGAAGGTTCGAAAAAAGGTATCATTTTGCCTAGGGTTGCATTGAAAAACCATATGTCACACTATTCAAGGGTCACCGAACTACCGCTAGACCAGAAATATCCCAGCCCTTGAGCAAGAAATGTAAGATGAAACTCCAATCCCAAAGCATGTGAATATATGAAACCGAAGTGGGAATGCAAAGAAAAGCCCAAGTCACCAAAACGGGGCGGTCAGAAGTATTACGAAGTCTCACCAATTACACCTGGTCACTTGTTAAATAAGCATAGTGATATAACTAGTTAACTATCCCTTAGATGTAAAAATTCCAACCTTGGAAAATCGAAAAGTAATCAAAAGAGGAAGGGATTAGTAATTCCAGTGAATTCATTCATTCGAGTCCATATCGACTTGAGATTTATACCGTTTCACTCTTGAAATCTTTTAAGGCTCCAGCTGAAAAATTCAAAGTAGATAAACACTGCAGTTGATAATCCCCACTTTCATGTCTCCTAAGGAGAGATTTGCAAACTAATACTGATGAAGTTCAGTAGAATTGGATAAGCGAGTTGAAGTTGAATTAAGGTAATAAAGTTCGTGCAGTTGGCCGGCGTAACTATGGCCAGAAGGTGGGAAAGCCGTTAGAATTAACCAGAGATCGTTCAACTTACCAACTTCACTCCTGTACATACACTTTTTTACGATTAATTAAATTGAAAATAACAACCTTGTAATGTTTTCAATTTAATTAAGTTTAAATATATCTGTTAACTGGTGATTACACACCTTTTCGAGAGATTCTATGCATTAGTACAATCAACTAAACAAAAAACTCAAGTGTCAAGTTGCGGGTACTGTTCCCTATACCGAATAAATGTATATGTCCCGTTGCCAAATAATCGAGGGACAATGAATTCGCAGCGGTGCCTAACGAAGACCCAATTGGACAGTAAGATGTTGTTATTCCCATCAAAGAACTGGCAATCGTTGCCAGATGCTCACAACACTGAATCCTAACAAAACCAACAACCACCCACAAATACTGCTGGAACCGACACCGCTTCCTTTCGTCGGATGCAGATATGTCGCTGCAGGAACTGACCACTGCCTGCTCGTCTGAAAAGATGGCAAAGCTTATTCAGGGGGTGTCAATGACAAATTCCAGTGCGGTCAGGGCTCCAACGACGATATTCCAGTTACGACTTTAATCAACTGTAACTGCATCCGCAACAAAAAGATTTCTTGGGTTGGAGCTGGCGGTCAATTCTCCGTACTCGCCTCAGTCCATGGGGATATTAAAATTGGTGAAGACATGGTTGGAAACAACATCGTGAAGGCTGAGAAATAGGTTTTTTTTTTCTTTTCTTTCTTTTTATTTTATAACTATCTATATATAAAAAAAAGCCGTGATAGAGATTTCAAATAGAAGGCTTCCCCGAAATTTTGTCTAGACATTAGGGTCATCGCTAAACAGATTGAAAAGAATAAGAAGTTAGGATTATATGCTAGGGAGATGATATCAGGTTTTTCAAACGTAATTTTTTTTTTTTTTTTTTTTTTTTTTTTTTTTTTTTTGCGTGGTAGTTTAACCGTTTAAGAGTCGGTAAGTAAAAACTGCGCTTCGAGGCGTAGTGAACGTCCAATTACTAGAATCTGTCAAGGACGGCGATAAGCGAGCTGTCCTTATTGACACTGCGGTTGATATTGTTTGTCAGTGATTCTGGTTTTCAACGAGTCGGCCGGGCTAGCTCAATCGGTAGAGCGTGCGGCTCTTAGGATCATTTCATGTGACCGCAAGGTTGCGGGTTCGACCCCCGCGTTCGGCTTTTATTTTTTTTTCCCGATTTTCTCCTCTTTCTTTCTTTTGTTCATAAACCTGATTTTCTTTTTATGCATCGAGAGAATACAATTTCCTTGTGACATTGAACAAACACCCATGATGGAATATACCTTCTTTGATCTTTCTCTGATCTTTCTCAAGTTTGTTTCATTATTTAAACTGACTGTCAGAGACCAGCTCTAGTAGATTCTATTTCCCCCTTCCACAACCCACCCCGGGTCTCAGACTTCCGGTTTGCTGGTTTGAGAGAGAATTCAGCAATGGCTATCGGGATGTCAGAGTAAAGAACCTCGAAGCGACAAACTTCTGCTGCAAATATGACTCACCAGTTTAATGTCAATTGTTTGCGTTTAGCCTCCACCTAAGAGATGGAGTAAACGACTAAACATTATATTATTCATCCAAGGTCTTTAGAGATCGCTCCATGATGTGTCTGCCTACATCAGTAACTGGAGTCCTGAACACCCGCCCAATGCACATCATTACATCTGTGTAGCTAAGGTTAGAGAGCAAACCGGACCGAACCGTCTCTATTTATATACTTTTGCACAATACTACTTGCTTGATCTGCTGTGGTGAGGCGGCGACAAATTGTTGACGGCATCCGACAGCGGGCGAACAGCATCAAAGGGCAATTGAACCCCATACGATGCACTTCTTCGCATAGTGTTGTTGAGAGAAACATTTTTCTTGGGAGTCAAGCCACGGTCGTGCTGTCATTACGGCCGAAACTCGGGACTTTGACAAGCAAACGATTCAAAATTTCACAGATGAGGGTTATAAAGTCGCATATCTGCTGTATAATGGCATGCAGCGGGAATACAACAATCAATTACAGGTGTTGGAGGAGCCATAAGAACTCGTGGACACATATGCCATTGTTGGATGTGAGATTCATGCTTGACATAATGTTCTGGTTTTGTTTTACATCTTCAACCAAAAACCTGATAAAAGTTTGAATTTTGGATAAGATTATGATAAGTGACAAATTATAATTCCTCTTTAGCATATGTTGAAGCTGCCGCTTTGGTCCTAGAAGCATGCACAAAGCCAGTGCCCAAACTCTGCGCGGTGGTTGCATACTACCCAACTCGAATTTCAAAACAGAACGGACAACTTCCCCTCACCACTTTACGTAAGGATCCACCTTACCAGTACGCAACAGTTAGGCAGGGGGACCATTTGACACACCTATGTGAACGCAAATTCCGGCTTCGCGGAACTAGATAGCCCGATTATGACGATATCAACATTGAGGTGTTTGGAGAACGGCTTTGATATACATCGTGACATGGAGGCAGGCAGTGTGGGAACGGCATGTCAATATGCTACATCTTTCCATGTATGTGGAGGGGGGGCGATGGAAATGAGGACGTACTTGAATTTTGTACCGACTACGACAGGTGGTATGTCGATAATATGTTTTTCCTCGTCAGCTGAGAGAGCTATTGTTTTGATTGAGCCATGGGCTAGTTTTTAAACTCATTTGACTGACTGTCTCTTTCTTGTAGGATATGGTAACGACGAAATTTCCCGTTTCTACGCCAAATACTTCAAACCGGGAACCTTAAGTACATGAGCATTGACTAAATGATGCTCCCTTGGGTGTCCTGTTCTCGCAGTTTGGAAAGTAGATCGATTCCATGTACATACATAGATACATATATAACGATTCAGCTACTCTATGTTTCATCCTTCAGCTAGATATTGACCATGTCTAGATAGTCTGCAACAATTTCCCTAGGTCTGAAATCTTGTCACTCACAGCATTCGCACTTTTCAACGTCTCCACGCTAGCCTTCTGAGCGACAGCAATGATATCCTCCAACTTCTTTAGTTCTCCATTATTTGTCTCCTCAAGTCTAGCAAGCCCCGCAACAATTACTCCAAGCAACGTATCCCCAGCGCCATTAACACTCACCACATCCGTATCCCTCAGAACCTCTGCCGGTGGGAAGAGACGCATATACACACCCCCAACTGGATTGGTATCATCCGCATAAGCCCGACCCAGGATATACCGTGCGAAATCGGCAGAACGAAGCCGCTCATCTCCTCGGGATAAGAGCTGCGTAAGTAGGACGCCTTGGGGTCCTAATTTAGAGATGATACAAGGGATGAATGGTAGGAGCTGGATGCTTTGCTGCGGGATCCCTTCATTTACAAGTTCAGAATTCGTAAGGGCGATGAGTCTATCTCGTGAGCCACTGCTGGGCATCTCTAGGGCGTTGATGACTCGCCACCATTCGGCGCTTTCGAAAAGCCCGGTGTCTCGCGCTGCGGTGTACATGGCTGCCAACTCGTAGCGGTTAGGTGTTGCAAGGTCAATGGTGTGATTTGGGATTGTGGATGAAAGCTGGATGACTGGTTTCGAGGTTGATTGTGATTTTGTGAAAAGACGGGTTGATTTGGTGGTAGACACCGGTTCAAAGGCGGTTTTCGCACCATGGGACTTAGCCAGTGAAATCCACTTTGAGAGGACATCGGAGCTCCAATTTGCATCAATTACAACCCATTTTGGTCTCGCGTGCTGGACGAGAGGGTCCCAGAAGCTGCCGAAATTAAGGGATTTTTCGGGTGTTTCCATGATGCTCATGTCTGCCATTGCAAGCATGAGATCTCTCTTTGCGTCATTGATGGAGACATATTGAGCTGTCCTGACGCCGGAGGTTGAACTTAGTACCTGGATGCCCTGAGAAAGTATGTTGGCTCTCGACTTTTCAATAGCAGCGAGCGCGGCCCGACCGCTGAGATCGTCTGCGACGATACTGCAAAAGAGAACTGGGCTGCCAACGTAGCTTGCCGCTAGTGCTACGTTGTGTCCCACTCCTCCGAGACTTTGGCTAATCACTGACGGATTGGACGTATGAAGAGCAGGAGTATCGCTGCCAATCTTTGATAAGGGGGTATAATCGCAAGCAAGGTCTATAGCAAGCGAGCCGGCAACTAATACATTGGTTTTATCCACAACGCCTCGGACTGGCTTGGTGTCAACCGTTGTGAAAATAGATTGTTCTCTGATAGTATTTCCAGTTGAAGGGGATTCTGACGATCGCGGAGATGTCCCTAAATATCCTGGCATATGCCTATATAGCAAAATATATACACAAATCAGCCAGCTTTTCCAATCGCAGTAACCACAGAGCCGGCTCACCGAATCCTTTCAGCAGAATGTCCCGCCTCCAATTTTGCAAGCTCTACTGCAACTTTGGTCCCACGTTCGACATTGTATTCAACTAATGCCGTGTTTGCTGCTACACTTTTTCCGCCACTCAACTCTTTAATCTTGGACAAGATAAAAGGGGTGTTATCACTGCCATATACGCCTTCAAGCTGAGAGAATTCCAGGGCTTGTTCAATTATATGATCGACCTCTTGTTTCGGGAAGGAAAACTTTTCTGGCACTGGATTTGCAAAAACCATACCGGAGGACATGTTCAAACGCGATTGTGCATCTGTGTGTTGTTAGCCAGGAAGTTATTGATACGTCACATTTCTCCCTCTCTTGAATGCCGTATTACCATGGAACAAAATGGAAAACATCATGAGGTCGTAAAGTAAAATAATGTGCAGCAACGGAACTTACATATAATAGCAGCAGCTTCCACTTCATCGTGTATAACCTTTGGCGTCTTTATTCCGCTATCCCGAGTGTAAAATGCCGGAAAATCCACGCTCCCCACACGCCCATCTGCAAAAGTTCCAACTAGAACTCCTTCGGTCTCAAGATACTCAAGCGTTCGGCGGATATCCAAGAAACTCTTGCAGCCTGAGCTGATGAGTGCAATAGGAGTTCGCCCAAGTTCAGTCAGGTCGGCTATATATGTCTTAGTATTGAGGAGGTCTTGAGCAAACAACAGTAATATAATGCCTCACCGGATATATCCATTGTGCTCTCCCCCCCTCGATGTACACCACCTGATAGGTAATGTTAGAGATTGTCACAAAAAACGCCTAGCAACACTTCTCAACGCACCAAGGCCACCAGTCGCAAAAACTTTAATTCCTGCAAGATGGGCTAGCACTGTAGTTCCGGCAACTGTAGTGCCACCATTTATTCTCTTTCCAGCCATTCCCTAACCATTGGTTAGTATTAGTTGTGGCATACTGGAGCAATGTTACATTTTTGAGAAGAAATACTCACCAGGCCACAGATATATCCCAGATCTCTGCGGGAGACTTTCAACACTTCTTGATTTTGTGATGAAGAAGCAAGCTCGGCAAGATCCTCTGGTGCCATTCCCACCCGCGCAACGCCATTAAGGACACCTATAGTAGCGGGAACAGCACCCCAACGCCGCACGATTGATTCCAGACGGGATGCAAGAGCAACATTCTCCGGGTATGGGAATCCTAATTGTAGATTTAGCTGGGGCCACCTGCAGCATCTCAGGAGCTTCAGTGGTTGACGTACCATGAGTATAAATGGTAGTTTCCAACGCGACAACAGGCTTCGACGAAGCGACAGCGTCCTGTACCTCTTCTGAAACTTTCAGAATCTTTCTCGCTTCCTCCAATTGTCCCCTCCCATGATACGACCTATATCTGAGTTTTGTTGGGAATCTTAACCGCGAACAGGAAGTTCTCCCAATGCGAGCCGCAGTCCATAGCGCTGGCATCGTGAAGCAGCAGCCTTAGAGTATCCTGTAGACTCCATGAATTGAAATAGCCCAGATTGCCTCTTCCGAAAACTCTCCTATCCCAACTAAAACTGTTCACACTGGTATGCTATGTCTTTATTAGCCCGGAGATCCATAACTATTAACGCTGGCTGCGCTTGTGGCCGCTTGGCCCGCCGTAGCAGCTGCAAGACGAACACTGTAACCACCAACCGACATCAATAACCATCTGCTGCAATCCCATATCTAGGCACTTGTTGAGCAGGCTCTCACTCAGGATATCTACAGCGTCCGGGGCCGTGTTTGGTCTGGTAGCAAGCTCTGCCGCAATGAGGTTTTTCTCTGCCGCAGCTTTGCTCTGCGGCTTGTTTACTATCTCTATCACAAGCGTATACGGCGCTGCCTCTAATGTCACGACCACATATGCTTCAACACGACTGGTATTGCCCAAGAATTTCAGCCCTCCCAAGGTTTTTAAGAATATCAACTTGCTCAGAAATATAAACCTTGAAAAGGGCTATGTGCGGGAAACCATCAATGTTGTGGTAGAGAACACCGATAAAGGACCGCAGGACCTATATTACCTCCCGTTTGCGACCAGTATAATTGGTAAGGTGGGAGGACTGGAGGTTCGAGATAAGAATGCGCTAGCGAAGGGCAAGTTTGAGGTGGAGGCTACGGAGTTGTTGTCCTCGAGGTTCGTGTGCAATTAGTACCGTATTGTGTTCTATCTGTGACATCTACATACGACCGTGTCTTTAAGAACTGTATTCTAACGAAACACCTTATAGTCCGATCCAATACTTCATTATCCGTTTCCCAGCTACACTGAAATCCTCTAAGCAAATAACCTTGAGTATATCCTACTACATCCTCCATGCCCTCGTACCCCTCCCAGCAACTATCGAGCAAGAGAACAATCAATATCTCACCTACACTTTCCCCACCTACGTCCCCTCCGTCTACACAACAGAAAACCAAAAAACAAAAATCAAATTCCCAAACACCAACGTACCAGATTACACGCGAACCACCGGCTTGAAGACCGGCGCGGACCCCGAACGGCAAGGCAGCATTTACACCTATGGACCTTACAAGACCTCCAAAGTCACCCCTGGCACCACCGGCACCCTTATAACCATCCGATATGAATTCACCAAGCCAATCATAACCTGTACCCTCCTGGAACGGGACATCGAAGTCTCACACTGGGGCGGCAACCTCGCAACAGAAGAGCGTCTCTGGCTCCGCAACGACGGCGCCCCGCTATCCGGCCAATTCTCCCGCATCTCCTGGACGATGCAATCCTATCAAAAACTCCCAAGCTCCTCCATGAGCGAGCTACGAGTGCCTCTGCGCCCAGGCTCCGTCGATGCATATTTCACCGACAACATCGGGAATGTCTCGACCAGCCATTTTCGGCCGGGCTTGAACAAGCGCGAGGCCCTTCTGGAGCTGAAACCGCGCTACCCCGTCTTTGGCGGGTGGAAATACAGTTTCCGCATCGGTTGGAATAATGACTTGTCCCACTTCCTGCGCAGAGTGGGCGGGGAGTCGTATGTGCTTAAGGTGCCCTTCCTCGAGGGCCCGAAGACCCCTGATGGCGTGCAGTATGAGAAGGTCAAACTGCGTGTGATTCTTCCTGAGGGCGCAAGGGACGTGAAGTATGAGCTTGTTGATGGGTTTGGGATGCCGTATGCGGTTGAGTCGGAAATTGGGTTACTGAGGACGTTTATGGATTCGGTGGGGAGGACGGTGTTGACGCTGCGGGCGACGAATGTGGCGGATGAGGCGAGGGAAGGACATATTATTGTATGCACTTTTCATTTCCTTTCCTGCGTTGACTTACCTTTTTCATGCACTCATTTCTATCCTCTTGATGAACCCCCGTCGAAAAGAATGACTGCTAACCATCCCTCGTTCTCTTTGATAGGTGACATACAACTACCCCAAGCTTGCGATTTTGCGCAAGCCACTGGTGATTGCGACAGGGCTGTTCAGTGTATTTGTGACAGTGTGGCTGCTGGGTAATTTGGATGTTAGCATTAAAAAGCGGTAGAAGAGTGGTGGCAGCTCTTTATGTTCCTCATTTTTAACGCTTTTCATGCCAATTATGTTGTTGATTATGTATTCAGAGTTCAATTTAAAATATGTCAAGAGTTAGACCAGTTCCTAAACATTATTGTTCACTTTTTGAACCATCTGAGAACTAAACCACCACTCAGCAGCTAACTAGCTCTCTTAACATAACCAACTGCTTTATGGTCTACAGAAGATGTCAACTATACTCACTTCTACTGTCTACTTATAGTCATTTTATGCATTTCCTATTTCACAAATATTGCTTGGCTCAAATATCTTTAACTACATTAGGTACAAGCACTGGTACAAAGATGCATTATGATATGATTTACAGATCAATAAGAAAGGGGAAAGAAAAAAAAAAAAAAAAAAAAAAAAAGGAAAAGGAAAAGGAAAAAAGGAAAAAGGAAAAAGGAAAAGGAAAAGACAAGGAAAAACCAAAAGAGACCGTGAAATCAGAAAACCTTTTTCTCTGAAACTGATAAGAATAAAATAAGAAACCACATATATACGTACATCTCTTCATCCTTCAACCCCCCACACCCTCCTCAGCAGCAAGCCCACCACACTCACTTACTTGGCCCACCCCTCCCTAGCCCTCAACCCAAAATTCACACAAACCGCCACAAACAACCCAACACAAAGCACTGTCGGCCCCCACTTCTCATGATAAACACGCCTAACATCCCTCCTCTTCCGAATAATATCAACGCGCCACATATACAGCAAAAAGCTATACACAAGTGACAAACACGCCAGAATAGTGAAGGCCCACGAGCTGGCGAGGGTGACTGTGTCGGTGCTGAAGTTTAGCAGGGCGGCCGCGATGGAGCCGAGGATGATGGAGAATTCGAGCCAGGAGAGGAATGTGCGTTCGGCGGCGAAGTAGACTTTTGGCTCGACACGGACGGGGACGTGGATTCCTATTGTTTTTGTTAGTTACTTAGTTGTGTAGGTGGGGTTTTGTATGTTGAAGCGGGTACGTGGGAAGGTATATACGGAGAAAGAAGCACTTACGTTTCCCCTTCGGTGCCTTAAAACATTTAATCTGCGCCTGGTCCGCCGGAATTATTCTCCCCCTCCCAGTCCCACCGTCATTTGGTATAGCTGTAGGCCTTGGCATGGGCGCAACAGACTTCAACGCATTCAAAGCCGACCGCCCCGCTGCACGCGTGTAGTGTTTCGCCAACTTAACCTTGTAGTGCAGGCCGCCAACTCTCCTGGCCTCCTCGAGGTCGTCTTGGTCGTTAGATTCGTCTTCGGAGTCGTATATGGGGTAGTCGTCGCCTCCGATCATTCTTTGTTGGGTAGCGATGCGTTCTTCGATGTCGAGGGCGTTTCCAGTGGCTTCGGGGATGTTGGGATCCTGGGAAGTGTCGTAATGGGTTATCTTGGCGTTGACGCTGTCGTTGTTGTTGTCGTGATGGGGGGAGTGGCCGTTTTGACGAATTCCGTTGATCAAGGGCTCTAGGTTTTGTTGATCGTGCTCTGCTGGGGTTTCATTATCTGCTTCGTCATCGGACTCGTCATCGTCAAGCGGGCCCTCACTTGTCGTCTGGCTGGTTTGGGTTGGTCGTTCGATTCCGAAACCGCGCGTGACCGGCTTGCGTATATCCACGTCCATTTGTGGCATCCAGAAGGGGAGAAGGTTGATGTAATCCGGGAATAGATTTGCGGTTCCATGAATGAATTTGCTGAATTTGGGGACAGCCTCAACCAGGTGGCTCGCTGTCAACTCCCGAATCCATTTTGGAGGTTCCTGTCCCGCCTGCGTTTGTAGTTTCACTTCCAAAACCGCATAGGCGAATCTCTCGACATCTTCTGCTGGTAATTGGCGAAAGGGATAATCGATCCCGATATCCATTCGCCGCCAGTTATCACCAGACCGCCTGCGACCATCCAGATTATCCTCTCGAATCATAGTCAGCTCCGTATCCAACGATATGCGTACTCGAGCATCTCCAGGAAGCTGGAATGCAGTTCTGTGATAAAAAGTCCTCGTAACTGGCTCCAGCTTTCGCGTGATGACACGATATTGTATCTCCCTCGCAAGCTGTTTCCAATCAGCTATTTGCTGCTCACTTCTCTTCCCATCCTTCCTAGCCTTCTCAAAAATCTTTTCAACAGTCATTCGCCCGGACATGAACGCGTTGACATATTTCTCTTTAATTGGGAATCTCGCTTTTACGGACTTCTCCCCCGTCCAGTCCTCTCGATGGGTCTTCCTCTCCACAAAAATCTGATCGTTTTCCATGCCGCCATACCATCGCAATCGAATAGCTTCTGCACCTTCGGTCTTTTTGAGTCGTCCTGTATACAGCTCCCAAGTCTGGGGATTGTCGTAATATATGGATGAAATGGCAGCGTCTTGTTCATCAAACTCTTTTCTAGGATTAAAAACCAAAACGGGGAGATGCTAATGGAAACATATTAGACAACCACTGAAAACCGGCGTTTTCGGAAAAGCACAAGGCAAAACAAACCTTCAATATAATAAGTTTCAACTCTGTAATGTTATCCGGGTGCACCCAGTACTTGGTCGTCTCGCGCACGAAATTCTGCTGCGAGCCGCCCGCAGAACTGTCCCCGCTGACAGGGTGGCCTTTGTTCCTAACCAGATCATAAAGCTTGGATAGCTTGACTACGAACGCATCGTAATTGTCCTTAAAGAAGGGCTTCGCATTTAATCGTGCTGCAAATACGGGTTTGAGGTGCCATTGCGTTTGTTTCTACCAAGATTTTGTCAATTCACCCAGCGATTCCCGCATCGAAACGTTAATAGGAGAAAAAGAAAAGAGTAAGAGAAGAAAAAGAGCCCAGGCAAAAAAGGAAATAATAAAAACTCACATCATGTTTCTTGATAATCTTCTGAAACCCCGTATAATTCAGCTGGACATACTTTGCCAAATCATGCACATCGGCAATAATATCACTGAGATCCTCTTCGAGCAATTGAAAATCCTCATCAGTTGGTCGCTCGCTGTTACCACCCCCAACAGCACCAGCACCGGCACCAGCACCAGCACCAGCACTGCCAGTCCCAGAACCAGCAGAACCTTGCCCATTATTCAGCTGCAGATCTCCGCTTGCCACTCCCGCACCCGCACCCGCACCCGCAACTGCCCCAGAACCCACACCACTCCCAACAACCGCAGCCGCAGCAGCCGCAGCAGCCGCAGACCCCAACGTAGCCACCACCGCATAAACCTCCTTCTCACTCTGCATGATCCGCGCGACAATCTCATCGCTCTTCAACTTCTGGAAGGTGAACACTTTATCCAGCTCGCTCTCGAGCAGGGCGACGAAGCGCCTTTCGTCCTCCTCGGTCCATGGCCTGCGTTTTGGCTTTGGGTTTTCCGGGGACGGGAGGGTTTCGAAGGGGGTTTTGAGGGCGGCTTTGAGGTCGTCGTAGGCTATGTAGTGCCAGTAGTATTCCTTTATGAGGGAAGAGCGGAGTTGGTGGCCGAATCTGTTGTTGATAGCAGGGTGGGGGTTTGTTAGCTGTGTTAATTTGGGTGGGCGGAACGGGAGGTGAAATTGGCGAGGGGCGAGGAGTGA